TCGAAGGAAAGAATTATTGGGTGGGACGCCAAAATTTTAATCCAATTAGTTTAAATAGTTTCACCCAGGACGAGTGTTTGAATTTGAGCAAGTGCAGGGAATTTTATATTACTGTGTCATATATATCAACTTACACTGAACCCCAAAACTATGACAGAAAATATATTTGTTTATCAGTATAAACCGAGAAAACAATTTATTAACCCACCTTAACGACAAGGGAGATAAGAAATGCCCATGTATAGGTGGATTAAGACCACCGTTTATGTTACTTACTTGAACACATTGGCTGTTTTTACTGTTTTTATTGATTTCATCCATGATCCTTTAGCATCCATGTTAATAATTTTTAAAAAATACACAACCTCAATATACATTTCATGATACACAGTTAATATTTTCACAAACACAATACTACTGAATAACTAAATCAACGAGTAGACTAGTCTACAATATTAAATGATACATGATATACTTTGATATTTGAGATGACCAATTACAAGTTAAAAGAGTTGCAATATAAACAAAGGGTAAATATAACATTATGAAATAGATTTAACAGTCGAATAATCAAGTATTAAAAACATAAATGTATAATTTCGTCACATAACACATATAAATTTGATTTGGTCCTATATATAAAATAGTATTACAAAACAATCCGAAAATTTTAAAGCAGATAGTTTACGTTACATCCCTAATTCTATTTTTCGACTCGTCTGATGGCGTGGCTATTGTCTATTAGTAGCCAAAATAATAATCTGTTTCATTGTCAAATTGAAGGATATGTTGATCTTGTAGACAAGGATTAATAAACGCTTTAATGCTACGATGATATTATTGTAAGATAGGTTATAACAAGTAAAGCTATTATAAGTGTATATTCTATTCAAAGGCGATAAAAATGGTATATGCCTAAGTATCATAAAACCACTGACTATAAAGATGGCCAAAATAACGACAGGAAAATATGACCCGGCGAATTCCAATCCGTGAAACACGATCCGTTTCCTGTTAAACAATTAGCATGAGCTACTGAAATGAAAATGGTATATCAGGTGTTCTCGAAAGAGTAAGGCGTGCGACACCCGCCACTACATACAGGTAGCTGGGACAGTAGTTTAGTCCTAAATTTCGGAAGTTGGTGGTTGTAGGTAACAGGGATTCTGATTAATAAGCAAAGAACACTTAAGCAATAAAAACCAGCGGCAGCTAGGCAGAATACGCCCACATTTTGCAAGAGATGGACAGAGAACAAGTTAAAAACAAACGGGATTTTTTGTATAATCAGGGGCAATAATCCAGAAAGTTATGGTCTGAAATGGGCAAATATCAAAAGGGACTGAGATCTTTGGGATATAAAGATATATATGTTTTAAGTTTCATCACAATCGGATAAAAATTGTGACCTCTACAGGGTCCACAACCTTCGTATTGCATACTTTTACACAATTTTCATAAAAAGAGCGGACATTTTATCCGGCAGTTTCATTTTGATTTTCCTGAAATTCGAATTCAACATTCATTATGGTGGAATGGTGATATATTTAAACGGTTTTTAAAATCCGAACTCAACCATTCTTGGGGTGTAACGGTGATATAACCAAAGGTTGTTTTTTTTAAATCGGATAAAAATTATGTCCTCTATGCTAAAAACGCGATTTTTCGTACAATCAGGGGTCATAATTCAGGAAGTTACGGCCCGATATGTGCGAATATCGCAAGGAACCGATATCTTTGCTTTATAAACTTACATTTCAAGTTTCATCAAAATCAGAAGAAAATTGTCACCTCTAGAGGGTCCATAACCTTGATATACCATATTTTACGCTATTTGAGTACGAGGGACGGTCACTTTGGGTTATAAACTTATCAAGTTTCAACAAAATTGGATAAAAATTGTGACCTCTATAGGGTCCACAAGCTAAAAACGCGATTTTTCGTACAATCAGGGCCATACTCCATGAAGTTACGGTCCGATACATGCCAATATCGAAAGGAACCGAGATCTTAAAGAGATAGACCTATATTTCAAGTTCGTTGAAATCGGATAAGAATTGTGACATGTAGAGTGTCCACAAACAGGGGCGACGACAATATACGTCCACGTGAAAATGTGGGCGTATAAAAAATCATATAATAATAACAATAAGGTTTCATACTAATCATTAAGAAACGACAAGAGTGGGATTTTGTCACTAGCAAACAAAGTATATTGCAAATTTTGTGAATTGTAAGACCGTGATCAGGAACAAAAAGTCTAAATAGGGTATGAAGCAAATGTCGCGTTACTTTATTCCGTCAGTGTTTTAAGAACCCCAAAAAAGAACTGAAATGAACAAACATGAATTTGTGAATTTCTGTTTTCCAGGAATTACTAAATCGTTTTCCTCTTGCTTATTCTGTTATTCTGTTTTATTCATCACAATACCTACTCTTTCAAATGAGAAATTCTACACAAAGAATAAAACACTTACTTTAACATTGTTCTTGACAATTTTCTTACGGCGGCAGGAAATTTATATTTTTTCACAGGCGACACCGTACGTTGTGTGGATCCCATTTTTTGTGCATTTACCTTAATTGTTTTTGCCACCGTTCGCCATTTATCGGTATATTTATTTCGCGAAGAGAGAGACATTTTGTTTTTTGCAGGTTTTTTTTTTTTGTAGATCACAATGTTCACATCAAAAATAGGTTGTAAGCCTATAATTAATTTCCTGGTCGCAGACGAAAACAATTATAAGAAAAGACGCATGCTAACAACAAGCCAACAAGTATAATCTATGCCACTAAGTATTTCTTATCATCTGATAATACAGTTACATTTCTTTCTTTTTCAAGACTTTGTGTGTGTGTGGAAAAAAATCTTAAGCAGTATGAAACATTGAATCCCGCCCCACGCGTCTAACATAATATCATTAAAGCACACATCAATGAATAAAACTAAGCAAATAAAAGAAAGTATTAAACTGTTTATCATGTATGTTTTAACTCGTAAATAACTGTTATACATACAACAATATGGTTTAACTTAACACTAAATGCAAACAAAAAATCTTTTAAGTCAACAAACCCCGGCAAAACTTGAAGTGCTAGACTTCTTTAAACCATAGAAATATATACAGTATCTTTTTCTGTGTTCAAACATAATTATATATCAATTATGTTTGCCTTTTTATCGTGAGAACTGTTATTTATTTATCAGATAGTATTCTACAGTGTAGTAGTATGTCTTCTATTGTTATTTATTCCACGTGTCAATATTGATAAATCTTGTACATTACAATAAGGTTAATACGTCAGTTACAATGAACCCCAAACGAGCCCACGGTGGCTGAATGAGTAAGACGTTGGCTCGCTAACCTGAGGTTTCGTGTTCGATTCCTGTGTTGACCGAGAAAGTTCATCTGGATTTTCCGACGTGGTTCCCCCTTGTCAGTGGCACAGGACGGAGAGCCTGGTAAGAGACAACGCATAGTCGTTCGGATAGGACGAAAATCCGATGTCCCGTGTACACAGTGGCGTGCTCGTAAAAGAACCCTTAGAATTCGAAATATAATAGGCTATAGCGCCGCTGTCCGGGCAAAAATTCCGTCATAGCGCACTGTATGACATATATTATGCTCGTCTTCATGAGTCCTGTCGGAATTGTTTTTTCTTTGCAGATTGTTCCTGATCTTGAAGCGGTCTGAATTCCCCCCCCCCCCCGCCACCCTTGACCCACAACTTGACAATTAACGAACGTGAAAGTAATACATATACTATGATACTTTTTACATGCTATACCTTTTTTGCACGTTAAATCCCCCGAAAATTACATCACACAAGTGACAATGGCAATGAACGCCAAATGTCAACTGAATCAAACATAGCTTGATAATAAAACCATTCTATACGATATTTTTTCAAGTCCAGTCAGAAGTATGGCATACCGAAATCGAAACACCAGATTCCGGGGCGTACATAACGATTTTGTTTACGGGGGTGCTTAGGAAAAATGAGACCGGCTGATGCCCCTAATACGAGTGACGCAGCCACGAGCCGAGCAAGTGAGGTGAGAGCTTTCTGGGGAGGCGGAGTGGGGGTGCACGAGAAATTTTTGAATATATCGTTTCGTTTTTTTTTATACTTTCGATGGCCTCTACTACGTGCAGATCTGACCGGTTGTAGTGGAAGGTCGCGTCAGAGGTCATACGAGCGGCTTTTGACCTTAATGACCCTATGGCATCAGACATTTGATTAACCAATCAGCGTTGATGTTTCTGGTAGATTACCCACAGTTCCGTGCACCTCCCGCCAAATTCTTGCCGTAACAGATCGTTTCATTGGCTAATCACTCACATCATCCAGAACGCGGATTATGTATCAAGTCTTCCAGATCCTAGTGTAGTAAAGACAAGTAAAACGAAATTTTGATTGTCCGTCGGTTGGCGTAGATTTCCCTTTTCAAATAAAACACACTACGTTTGTTCGACTAGTCCAAAGGAGGAACCCTATCGAAGTCGCGCGTCAATTTTAAAAAAGTTATTGCCACGGTCACCGGATCCTTGTAAACACTCTTTCGGTCATTTTTTTTAAAACTCACTAGGGAGGCGACGGGGGCCAAGAAGGTTCCGATACAGCAAAACAAAGACACGTACCTAATTCACAACTACGTGACAGTGAAACAAGAACACGAGTATAATGGACCAGAAATCGGATGACGCCAATGCAGTCATCTTGAAATTGTGACGTCATATCAAAAGTCGAAGTTCTTCAATCGATGCGCAATTGTCCAAGAAACACGCTGGTCAAGTTTCATGTTCGTACATGCATTGGCGGAGCCTTGGGGATTTTTCGAAGAGCATCTTCTGCCCCAAGAAGAAGGGCAAGATGAGTATCGCTTGCCATTAACTCCTTCAGCAGGCTACTGATAGGCGTGAATTCGTTGTCTGGCGCCGCTATTGATTATCCGTACACAAATAATCATTTTTAATTTTATTATAAAATTTACTTACGTAACTGATGATCGACGTCTTTGTATAATTTCACCCGGTCTGATACTAGTTCGCCGACCAACAGCTTCTGCTTTTTGAACTCTCGATTGTCGATTACGAGGGGATGCAGTTACACGACCCCTGTCATCCATTCCTATAATATATATTAAAAATAACATTTTTAGTTGTATACATATTAAAGTCGTGTTATGGGAGATTAGATAAAGATCTGATAGTTCTTGCTATTATAGCTGAAGAAAAGATAACTTAAATAGAGTATGCTGAAAATTTCAATCAAATTGCTCCACTTTGAACCGAGATATTAAAGATTGAATTTTAGGCCTAGCCTCGATCATCATTACTAAAGTCGGTACGATAAAAAAAAACAAAGTCTCGATTTTCCATTTTGACGTCAAATCATCCAGTAAACATCGCAGGCTAGCGATGACATCGAGAGTTGATTATCGTCTGGATAAGTTAATTAATGTCTAATAAATAATTTAGATAACATTTCAGGCCTAAAGAAAGACCTGCCATAGATTAATTTAGCTCTTGCATAATGTATGTTTAATTCTAGAGTCGACCGACATCGCCTTAAAAAAAAATGTATCAACAGTCAAAGTTTGGTACCGATACATACATTACACGTTCTGGCGTATGTGGACTTCTTTCCTATGTAGGCCCAATATGACTGTGTCCAAAGCATGTACCATCGGGTCACGATGTGCAATGAATGGCGTAGCATATTAAAGCCATAATATACACCTTAAAGATGCATTATGTAAGGTTTATTAAAATCAATAAATAATGATGCAAGATATGCCTCTCTAAAATTCACCCTTCACGCCGCCACCTTTATTGACACTGATCGCCCTGAAGGGATGTTCATTTCTATCCACGTACATCGAGCTCACAATGTTATCTCACCTATAGGTTTTCTAATCACTGTCTAGAGAACAATTTTCGGGTCTTTTTAAAGTTTATTAGTCTTCTGTCGCATTGGGGCTTTAATAGAAAGTTGATTGCTATAGTAATCTGCAAGCTTTCAACGGGTGTCTGTTTGTCTATATATGAGATTTTGTCGTTTTGAAGAAGAAATATAAATATTTATTTTATGATCAGTAGTGGAATACCGCGTTTTATCAGTGAAATAAAAGTGTTATTCCACTGGCTAGCAGTAGTCCATGTTGTTTTTACCTAAAATGATTGTAAAATCATAAAATAGATAGAACATTTGTCGTTTTGTCGTGAATAACATATTTTATTTCATCTCTAAGCTTCTCGATGAAATAAAATATGTTATTCACTCTAAAACGACAAATATCCTCTATATATAAATATATTTAAGAAATATATATATATATATATATATATTATATATATATATATATATATATATATATATATATATATAGTAATAACGGCGCTGGATCGCTAACCTTGAGGACTAACGTTCTGGGTGTCGGCCTTGGAATTTTCTAGCAAGGACTTTGTGGCACATAGCCCTTGTCCTTATTCATTATCCCGGTTGGTGCAGAAAAGCAGGTAGTTAAGCCCCCGTTTCATGTCATTTCTATTGGTGGCTGGATAGTGGTGTCTCCTAATGTGCACAAGCCACTATTTTAAACTAAAACTAAATCCTTGCAGATTTTCATTTTGTTCACTTACGTGTATATCTCTTGTGAATTGTGAAATAGGTTCATTTAGCGTGCGCTTTCATCGATGTGATGTCGCAATACTCGCAGACTCGGATCTCTTATTTTCAATTAGTTCCAACGAGATTCAATGGGCTTTTCTTTATTAAAGGGAAATAACTCCAGGTGAAATAAAATCGTCTCTGTAAAAATTATTACAGCCTTCGAAGGAAATGAAATGGGATTAAAGGTACAGCGACACTTCGGTCGTTGGAGTGTGTGCAATGTGAAAAAAAATCACCCGAAAATATTCACACAGAAACTTATAATTGCATATTCTAAAAATAAATATCTGAACGACATCCTCGTGCACAGTGAATTAGATTAAATAAGACCAGTCTCCACCCAAACCCAAAACAAGCCATATATCACATCCTATCCCTAAACGTTAGTAAATAAAATCAACTAGATATAAGAATCCCTAGCCCTAACCCGGTGATGTGGAACAAACACGATTTTTTAGAAAATTCAATCCGTAGTAGGAAACACACTAATGTGACTCTCCCCCGAGAGCCTCAAATTTATTTTCTTTTTTCTTCAGAAACAAAAATACCAGAATACCTTCTAAGCACCATCCAAAGAAGACCATCAGCGCCACCAACACCAGAAAACAGTGAAATCGCCTTTGTATATAAATCTAATGTATTGTATGTATTTTTAATAAAACTAGGAAATATCACGAACTAATTTTTCATCATCCTAGGTCAGTGCTTATGTGGAGACTTAACCTCTCCCCCAAATTCTTAAACCTAACCCAAATTTAGTCACTGACAAGATTATAATTTATACACTCCCGTTTTTGGTAATGAGTGGGCCGAATGTTTTATTTGGGTGGATAATATAAGATATTAATAACGGTATGACTAAACCCAAATTCCAATTAGCCCTCTAAATAATATAACAGTTGGCTGACTTATTTAAACAAACATAAGGGGGTGATCTTGCTTGAAATAATTATCCACATGGGGTGCCACCATTAGTACAGGGGGTGGGGTGGGGGGAAAATGCAGAAACATATCCATAGAATAGAATCCATATCGGAAGCAACCGTATTAATCAGAGATATAGTTTGACAGTAATACCACCGAGTCTTTAACGACCCAACTTTATTATACCTAGAATGAACACATTATTATTATGAATACCGTGATCAGGTCACTGCATGTATGTTTTAAACGTAATGGATCAAGGTATGCTTTATTTAGTCATGTAATAAACTGAGTTAAGCCGCATAACAAATACCTGTGTGGTTAATTTACCAGGTTTCTATGTTATTGATTCTATTGTAAATATAGATACCATTCATAGGCTACCTTTTGTATAGAATTTTATAATGATCTACAGGGGAAAAACATGTTTAAGTGTTTAATATCTAGTTTGGGTAATAAACAGCATGTATACTTGCGTAACTAAGACACGCTTGAAGTTAAATCATGGGTCAAACCAAGCCATCGATCACTATGTTACTTCATTTTTATAATTTAGAGACATTATCACGTTCACTAAGAAATTAAATGTAATTAAGATTGAGTAATATAATGTAAAATACGCTAATAAACCTTAAAAATCAAAATGTGACAGAGTATACGTTAATATCTCATTGATGCCTTAGAATTCGATCATCAATGGTGTTCTTTTGGCAATTGATATCAGTTTGGCTTCTTTGTGCGATATAACTAAAATATACATAATAACACAACTTTATGGATTTACTACTTCTTAGTTTATTACATGCAACGTTTCAATACTCTTACAGGTATCTTTATCAAGCAATATTGAAGAGTATTGAAACGGTGCATGTAATAAACTAAGAAGTAGGAAATCCATAAAATTGTGTTATTATGAATATTACACCCAGGACCGTAGCCAGCTTGCTAGCTTCGGAGGGGCAGTGATGTTTTAGGGGGGGGGCACACCTGGCACAGTCTACAGTAGGTATTTTAGAGCTATGGTCGGCAATTTTCTTTCGGGGGGGGGGGCAAACCATTTTTTCGGGGGGGGGGGGGGGCATTCCCCCCTGGCCCCCCTCTGGCTACGGGCCTGATTACACCTCTACTTCTAAATGTCATTTAAGGATATTAACTAAAATATAGATGTATGGGATGTGAGGGGTGTTATTTGTTTTGGTTACATCTATATATTGATCCCTTGCAAAGTCTGTGTAATTTGTGTGTACCAATGACATCAAATGATATTTCGGTCAGTCAAAATCCACCAAAAGACATTAATTTTTTCAATTAGTTACCTATTATTTATTTGTCATTTCTAAATATGTTAAAATGAAATTATTAATGATATAAGCTGGTACTAATCATAATTATATTGTCCATGCTTTAAAATAGGTTGTTTGAATCAACCAAACACTTACGAGTTTGGTACCACTTTCGATAAAGAAAATACCCCATAAATTATTTATGTTGATGGACAGAACATTGTTTATTTAGTTGGAAATATTCTAGCAATGATCAATTAATATGACCCATAAAATTATGCCTATGCACGGTAATGAAAAAGAAACATGGATACTTTCTATATATAAAAATGATTTTATTTTTATTGTAAATACTACTTTGTAACACGGCGATGATTCATGATTAATGTTATGGTCGAATGACTTGGGTTGCATAGCCTAATATTAATATAGCAAAATATTGTGTATTCACACCCCTCCTCACGCATACATGAATTAAAATAACATAGAGATGAATGTAAGAAAAACGTTAAGTTCTATATTATAAATATAAAGCGTCTTCTTACCTTTACTCATATTATTAATGTTTAAGAGAGACTTTATAACATACTTGTAATAATCCACTGAGTTTGTTTTTTTTTTAACTTATGATAAAATGATATCTTTATCACTAATTTACCGTTAAGTAAAATCTCCTACCCAATAAAAAGCAAGACAATTTCTCATTGTAGATTAGGTTCAATTTCGTCGCAGAGATACGCGTAGGGCTTTACTGTACCGTAAACATATCATTTTGTTAAATTCTATAACTCTCGCGTAGAAATCCAACCGTTTACTTGTTAAGTAGGCCTACCCAGCGCTACGGACATGCTTAAATGCTTTAGAAATATTTTACCTTTTTTTACACACATTTATTTTTTAATTTTTATTTTCGAATATTGTGAAGATACAATTAATTATCTTTCCGTTTTAACACTTTGCAGATAATTTTCTTTTTTAAATTATCTTTTCTAAATGTTTATTCATAAGAACAGCGATTAAGAATGATCTATTTTATATATCTATATACTTTGGCGATTTGTAATTATTAATAAACAGCCGTGTGCGAAAATATATCCTAAAGCCAAATGCACTTACTTTGCTGTCTGCATATAAAATAACCCGATGTTGTTGCAGATTTAGTTTTGATTTTCATTTTTTTAGTGAATGGTGAGAAATGGAATGTTTACAGCACATTTGCCTATAATATATCCATTCTCGTGTTTTATTTACAATCAGAAAGCTATTGTACGGTTTAACAAACAAAAGAGTATTTTTGTCACTGGTTATAATGAAGTCAAAGGGTACACTATCCAACAAGTTATTCTATTGAAAAAGATCCTGTTGAATGGTCGAGTAGATCTACTTTATAATTAAACAAAAAATATTATTTCGTGTCTTATCGTTGAGTAGGTATTAGTTATATAGTGGGTATATATTACCACCACTGCAATCACCCTTTAATAACAAACATGTCAATTTTTTATTTACCAATATTATTCACAGCGCAAACCGAACATTAAAATTGCCCTCTAGCAAATTAAGCCCACGTTGGTTAGAAAACAAAATCTCTCTAAGTGATTCGCTTTTCGCAAAATACAGGGGTTAGAGTTCAGGCAAGGTATAGCGGTTACAAACACAAGTGTTGGTCATATTCTGGAATCGCCCCCTTTTCTATGATCCCTATAACCACTCTTAAAGCGGAAATTGCAAATTTTCTAAGAAAGTCAAAACGTAATTATTTCTATGTCTTTTGTTCAATAGGTTGTCAACTCACAATTATACGATCATAGGTGTCATTCTCACACTTAAGATTCATTTACACAGGAAATAATAACACAATTACCTCCCAATTACCTCCCTTGTTTTCTATTCTCCACCATGGAGTAGCGATATTCAAACGTTTGAAAATGAAGAGGAAAATGATATTTTTGCCAATTTCTCAGCTGGCAATAGTGAATTATAGGATTAATAGGATTATTCTTTAACAAGGTAGGACTGTTTATGGATACCATCTATTTTCAGGCCTTTTTTAAAATAAATTTTAAAAATATAACTTAAAAATTTGCAATTTCCGCTTTAACAGACTCTGGAGCCACGGTGGCTAAGTGATTAAGGCGCTGGCTCACTGGCCTGGAGGTCGAGTGTTTGATTCCTGCATTTGCCGAGAAAGTTCATCCGGATTTTCCGACGCGGTTTCCCCTTATCAGTGGTGCAGGATGGACAGCTGTCTAGTCGTTCGGATGGGACGAAAAACCGATGTCTCCCGTATACATTGGCGTGTACGTAAAAGATCCCGTGGCAGTTGGAATTCGATATAAGAGTGGACCATAGTGCCGCTGCCCGGTCAAAATTCCCTCATAGCACACTGTATGGCTTATTCCCAGTATAGGAGCAGAACAGTAGGACGTTAAACCTCACTTCGTTTCATCTAGTCGTTCGGATCGTACAAAAAACTGAGGTCCCGGGTACACACTGACTTGCACCTAAAAGATACCTTGACAGTTAGAATTCAAAATAAGAGTAGGTCATAGTGCCGCTGTCCGAGCAAACTTTCCCTCATAGCACACTGTGTGGCGTGTGTCCGTCTTCATTAGCCAAGTCGGGACCCCCGGGTTCGCGAGCTAGGGACTTACTCTCTAGGCCACCGCGGTCCCCATGTGATATAAGGTGTACCGAAGAATATGTGTATATCAGAGATGTAAATATGGATATTAGATGCCTAAGCATTGACGTACGAGTGAGATGAAAATGAAAAGCCCGATAAATTGCCTTTCAGAAGCGCGCTATATTATATAACCGGGTTTATGGGGCGGGGGGGGGGGGGGGGTAGACCCACAAAATTTTAAAAATAGACAGACGCAAACCCGTTTCCCAGCTATTCCGGTCCGCGAATACAGCATCTAGAAAGTGCACTTACTTATACAAGTAAAATATAGGAAGAACACTATAATTACACACAAAATAAGATAGTTCCCGGATTACAATGGCGTTGTCCATGACGACCAATGACGTGATTGATGACGACGTATTTGAAGAATGTTTTATCTTACAAGATTTTCAAAGTTTGAAGCTGTTTTTCTTTCAAGTTTATCCGATTTTCTTAAGACAAGGACAAATTTGCACTGAAAATTCTACACACTCTTCGAACGACGCAATTGTGAGAACTTCTTTCTAAACGCGTGCAAGTTTCCCTTATAAGTAAACCGGTGCCGCATCGCAAATGTATAGGCGTAGGTACATATCACTTACTGTCATACAGCCGAGGCTAGATGTAGGGGACCGGAATCTGCCGAGGTTTGCCGAGTGGCCGTGGGCCGTCACTGGAGACCGGCCGCCATGTTTCAACCGGGAAAGAATCACGGAAGTGCCCGGATGAACGCTATGTAAACAAAGGGAAATAGACTGACGGAGGGCGGACAAGCCCATTAAAAAAGCAGTTCTAATTCAACAATATCAACCAAAAAAATGATGATTGAAAGGTCTTACCTTACTGTCCTAAAAACAAAATCGTTTTGGTCAACTGGCATATTTTTGGGGCTTTACTATTAAGAATAACTCTTATCATAATTATCATCATGATGAATACCGTGGCATGGTCACCATATGGTGTAAATTGTAATGCAGAACTGACAAAATCATGTTTATTTTATTAATTGAGCACAGTGAACGTCCTCGAATGTCCAGATCTATAAAGTGTTCAGCAAAATTTTGAACATTGCTCCTCGGTGACGGTAGTTCACATAAAACTTTATTTTGGATAGATCTAAATAATTTGTTCAGTTGGACGATTTGAAATGAAAGGACTGCTTGATTGAGAGATAACTAAACTATCTATATCATGTAAAGAAATAAAATCGATTTTAAAAATAATCTTTGACTTCTATCATTTACCAGTAAAATAATATCTGATGCCGATTGGAGATATTTTTTTTTAAAAAAAAAGGAAAATATAAACACGCCTAGCAAGGCCTTAGTAGGCCTATATCATATGATTTTCAATTTCCATGATCTGGTGTCTGATTTTTCTTTATTGAAAAATACGGCGGTATATTAAATTTTACAAAAAAATAAGACTAACCTAATCATACTTAATAAGATTTTCGTAGTAGCAGCGATTAAAAAAGAAATATCATTATCATCAGGCCTTTTTTTTTTTTTTTACAAAATTTGACTGGGAATGAAGTTATCAAGATTACTTATTATATAACCATTTTTTTTTTAACTAGTTCGGGGGTTTTAAGCGGGTTTTCAGAAGAAGAAAAAATAAGAAACATAAATATTGCAAGAAACTTTCACTTTATTCTGTACATCTGTGTACACACACAATTAATGTCGGCCTAATTAATAAAATTCGAGGGAGTAAAACTAACCGATAGCAAAGCAACTACTGGCCAGTGAGTGCATGTCTGTGACATAACACTCCACTCCAATAAGTAGACTTACTCCCCGCGATATTTTTCGTACAATGCAAAATGTGTGTATATATATAATATGCGCAATTTCCATAATAATTAAATGTACATTAATTTGGAAGTTCGCTAAACGCACGGACCTTGTAATTATTACATAATAAAAGTATCAGTACTAATAATATAGACCCGCCCGGTTTCCGGCCTCAAACTTCCAGTGTTCGACGTCTTCTCGTCGTGTTTATTAAATTATTTTACACAATTATCATGATTATACTATATCTTTTAGATCACTATTTCACTTATAATATATCTTACCTACTAATGAAATGATAATCCACTCCCTTTTCGCCTGACATTGAATTAACCAAAACAACAACAACTCTCCGGCATGTTGATATATGCCAACGTAGGCTAAATCTTCCCGGTTGTAAAATGGCTGCCGACCTCCATAGTCGGCACGCGATCACGTGACAACCATACACTCTAGTCAATATATACACCTCCATGGATAGAATGCAGTTGCAAGTTAAATATACACGAAAAATAATAAGTATGTCATCAGTTGAATATTATGGTTTCTTCAGTGCTCAATATAAATGAGTTTTCGGATCAATCTTAAAATTTTCAACATTTTTACACATCTTTATATCAAAAGGCAGGTTGTTCCATAAAAGACATGCAGAATAATGAAAAGTACGTTTCATGGATTCCGTTTTGCATTTTTGAAGGAAAAGAGATTTACTGGTCTGTGAACGGAGCAAGATATCAATTTTGGAAACAAGAGATTTTTCAATAAAATAGGAGTTCAGATAAAGTGGAGTATTAAATGTAATAATTTTTAATGATAAGTCAATTTTATTATAAAGAATCTTCTGTGTAAGGGGAAGCCAACCGAGTTAGTAAATAAAGAGGTGGACGGAGCTGCCCTCTTTTGTAATTTTAAAAGAATGTCTAATCTACTTTTGGTAGAATTCCCCCAAATAATAGAGCAATAGTCAAATATTGGTAGAATGTGACTATTATAAAACAAAATTCTTGTCTCGTAAGGTAAATGGTCTTTTATCTTATTTAGGAGAAATACTTTTGATGCAAGTTTTTTTTTAGACATATGTGTTATGGTCAATTTGAATTCCAAGTAATTTTACGGTAGTAACCGTCTCAATTTTCTCACCATGAAGTGATAAAGTTAGGTTTTTCTGATTTCTTTTGTGGTTTGATGAAATCAGCATTGATTTTGTTTTCGAAGGATTGATTACCATCCCATTG